GCCTCATGGGACTTGTAGTTTGGCAACAGCTGGAAGGCAGCCAGTTTGACACCCGTGCCCTAGACAAAAATATGCAGTTTAATCCTTGCAGTTCAGGTTCAGCCTCACTGCAATGGAAAACTTTTTTCACCAAGAGCTGACTTTAATTGTCTTGGATATAGCAAAGAAGGGTTAGAGCCTGTGTTGGCTTTTAATTTCAGGAATGGATAGGACTTGAATTGAGTATTGCAAAGAATGCTGGGATAGGGGTACTGCCATTTGCCATAGGGTTCTGGATGGTGAGGTCGTTCCCATAATATTCATAAAACATTTTCCACCTTTGAGGTCAAAAAACACTTCTTATGATCAGCCACATCACACCAGCATAATGCTAAGATTTTATTGATCAAAGCCACCATCATTACTGGTCAAAGCCACAATCACTCCTGCTAAGCCCTGCTTCTTTGAAGGCAAGAAAGTCAGCGGGGTCTCCAGGAGTTATAAGAGGGCAGGGAGGTGACTTTACTCCCCAGGCATGTACCCTGTAACTGTATTGTTAGTTGTGAGCAGACATAACCTATAGTTTTGCAGTCTTTTTTTTTCTTTGTTTCAATTTGGCAAAATTTGTTCCAAAGAAAAAAAACTTTAAAATTTTTTTCTTGTTATCATTCTGCACTTTTTCTTGTACCACATTACAGAATAATCACTCAGATGTATGGAAATGTGTGACAAGGCTTTGTTAGCTACACAAGCGAAGAAAAACATCTTCTTTGTGTTTGATCACAATATTGGCCAGTTAAACTTATATATTTGTCTGTACTATTAATAATGCATGCATTGCAAATCTCTGTCCATTAAGGGCTTTGATCCACACTCTTTTCTGTTAGTATTGTTACACGAGCGAGTGGCTGGAAATGCTGCAGCAGGCGGTGCATCAGCTGCCACCCATCTCAGTTAATGAAATCCCTATTTTAATACATTATAAAAAATCAAGACAAGCCTACTGTAGTTTGCAGGTAATTTAATGTATCGGGGTAGATTAAAACAAACTGCAAAGACTTTCCACTGTGCAGAGATCAAAGGCATTAATTTCATTGTTCTACTTTACTGTTTATGGACTTCAAAAAGATGGTACGACTCGAAACGCTTTTAATGTCATCTGCCGAGTTGCTTTGAAAAGCAAGGAGAATGTCTTCATTAACTAAAGCTGATTCTTGGAGTTCTGTTTCAGGTTTCAAAGAAAATAATATAAATTAAAAACAGTGTCTCCTCTAATCAAGTATATATGTATATTTGTGTGTTAGGCATTTCTATGTATGTATGTGGGTACTGTGTGTGTATATATATATATATATATATATATATAGTTCTGTACAAAAGTTATGGGCCGTTGTGAAAAAAATACTGTAAATTAAGAATGCTTTCAGAAATATGTGTTTATAGTTTGTTTGTATCGATTAACAAAATGGAAGGTAAATTTAGAAGAGAATTCAAAATCGAATCAATATTTGGTGTGATATTCTTTGCCTTCAAAACAGCATGCCAGCAAAACAGGTACACTAGAAGTTTTTGAAGGAAGGTAGGTTGTTTCAAACATCTTGGAGAACCAACCACAGATCTTCTGTGGATGTAGGCTGCCTCAAATCCTTCTGTCTCTTCATGTAATCCTAGACAGACTCTGTGATGTTGAGATCAGGGCTCTGTTGGGGCCAAACCATTGCTTCAAGGACTCCTTGTTGTTGTTAAGATAGTTTTAAATTACATTAATGACATTGGCTGTATGTTTGGGGTCGTTGTTCTCCTGCAGAATAAATTTGGAGCCAATCACACGCCTCCCTGATGGTATGGTATGATGGATAAATATCTGCCTGTATGTCCCAGCATTGAGGACACCATTGATCATGAACAGATCTCCAATTGCTTTTGCAGAAATGCAGCCCCAAACCTGCAAGTAACCTCCACCATACTTCATTGTTGCCTGCAGACACTCATTGTACTGCTTTCCAGACCTTCGACAAATAAACTGCCCCCTGCTACAGCTAGATATTTTACATTTTGACCCATAAGTCCAGAGCACCTGCTGCCATTTTCTGCTCACCAGTTCCTATGTTTTTGTGCATAGTTGAGTTGCTTAGCCTTGTTTCGATGTTGGAGATATGGTTTTTGGCCTCAATTCTTCCATGAAGACCACTTCTGGCCAGTAGATGGATGTATCTGGGTCCTACTGACTTCCACCAGTTCTCAGCTGATGGCACTGCTGGACATCTTCTGATGTTGAAGAGAAGTAAGCACCATGTATCTTTCATCTTCTGCATTAAGTTTCCTTGGCCGATCACTGTGTCTAAAGTCCTCAGCATTGCCTGTTTCTTTGTGCTTCTTCAAAAGAACTTGATGAATTAAATTGATGCTGGTTTGAAGCCAAAGGGTAGTCACACTAAATATTAATTTGATCTAGACTTTTCTTCTGTTTGTTCACTTTGCATTTTGTAAATTGATACAAAATAAACTAAAATAGAATATATAATTTTAAAAGCATTCTTAGTTTACATCATTTCTTCACACTTGCCTATAACCTTTGCACAGTATTGTGTATATATATATATATATATATATATATATATATATATATATATATTCACTAATAATTGTTAACATAATTGGTAATTACATTGTATATACCTATCAGAAATTTTGCTTTATACTGTTCAATAACTTCCGGCTTTAAATATAGGTTAAACTGCTATAGGAAATGAGAGGGAAGGCAAAAAGCACTTCTAATTGATGGAAACTATCAATTGCAGTCTTACCTATTAATAGCTCTGTCAGTGTCATGTTTCAAGCAATGGGAACGCGTGAAGGTGACTGTACATGCTTAGCTCAGGCAACATTGTTTAATGGCATGTTATAAGAATGTGACTAAACACGATCTCTTCAAGTCAAGTTCCATAATCGTAACCAAATTTTGTTACAGCATTGAAAAAAGTTTGAAAGAATTAGAGCCTCTTGTCAAGTTTTATTTTTGTAATTTGGGTCCCCACTGTAGAGATATGTACTTACTTCCTATCCTCAAAGGAGAAAGTCCTGCTTTGATGAAACGCGTTGGAACACAGAACAGGGCACACACAAAGGATGCACTCCTGACAGTAATAGTGGACTTGAGAAAGACAACTCAGAGCAATGCTGCAGAGTAAAGAGATTAAGCGGTTAATACTAGTGCAGGTGTAGCACTAATACAAGTGGGTGGATACAATGTTGGGTCTTTAAAAATATAAAAGTGTTATTACACTTTTGGAGTTTTTGTTGTTTTGCTTTGATGGAATGTGGTGAAGACCAGTTGGTACAGAAGGAGATAGGATCAGAGTGGATTTTGACTTGATGTAAACTAGATGCATAACTCAGTGCTTAAAAGTTCAAGTCCTGAGCTACTAGCCAGGCCTTAGAATTACTCGCCACCAACAAACACACACAAACAGAGACACCTGTACACACAGACATGTACATACACATGCACACATGGAAACCTGTACACACACACACACACAGAGACACATGCACACAAACACATATACAGACACATGTATACACACACAGGCACGTACAGACACGCATACACACATATACATGTACATACACAGAAATACACACACACAGACACATGTACATACATACACAGACACATGTACACACAGACACATGTACGTACATACACACACATGCACACACACACACACACACACACACACACACACACACACACACATGTACACACACACACACATACATGTACATACACGTAGACAAATGTACAGATACACACATGTACATACACACAGACACATGTACAATTGTACATGCATACACAGGCCCACACAAACACACACACACACACCCATAAAAAGTTGCAGTACTTCGTTGTTCACTCACAGATCCAGGTACTGCACTCTAGGGGGAGGCAGAGAGCACAGCACACACTCCTTGCTTTGCTTTCACTGCGCTCAACTATTGAGCAGTCTGATGGCTCCCAGTGCCAATGACAGATCTGGCCTGAGCTCCGAGCCTGCTCAGCAAGACGGCCCTGGGGGACACACTCGCCCCCACCATAATTTCCACTCGCCATTGGCAAGTAGGCGAGTGGAAATTTCAAGCCCTGCTATAGACCGTTTATTACTTACTAGTCTGGTGAGTTCTCTGTATGGATACAATGAAATACGGGATTTCACACTGAACTGATAGCTCGGCAGATGTAGATAAGATATGTGAAGATAAATAAAGTTTTTTGACCTGTAAGAAGTTGTATGTTTATTGGGACAATGTGTGGATTCCACTGCTGCAATTGTTTTGCAATAATTAGATGGTTACATTCTGTTTGTACTATGTTTGCAGGTTATGTATTCTAAGTAATTTGATTTGAGCACTTTGTGACGGTAAAGATATAATCACAGAAAAGGTGATCCATCCATCCGTCACCATGGTACTGCTACTGTCTTTAGTACACTTTACACCCTGGCATCTTAACTTTTTGTGGCTTTGAGGTTTTCATTTAAATGAGTACCAGAGCTGCATTAGGCATTTGATGGAATGATACCAGGGTCTCCTTAGGAGCTGACAATTGGATTTTTAGGAAAAACAGATAAAACCTGAGGAACAATGACCAGCCTACTTCAAACATATGACTATATAAGGAATATAGGACTATATATAAAACAAGGTTGTTGGTGATGGCAGCCAGGAGTTTATGTGCACTACAGGAGTGATGATCTTGTAACCTTGATACATCTGTAGTGGAAGGTCATTGTTCTTTTGGCGGACTGGTTGCAAATGTGGTCTAGTGGTCCTTTGTAGCTACTTTACTGTATACATCTTAAAGTGTTACTAAATCCACAACAGTAAAATCAGTCTGTATATGCGGTAAAGCATGCTTGTTATACTCACTGTGGAACCTAAGGGGTAATCCTCTGCATTTTGTAAAAATGCTGCTTGATCCTGACTTCTCTGATCCTCCCCTTCTTCCAGTGCCCCCCTCTTATCTCCTGATAAGACATATAGTGTGGAGACACTTCACATGCTCAATTTGGTGTGTTTTGCTAGAGAGGGTTTTTTTTTTTTCTTGGGAGAGTGCATGTGATCAGAACAGGGCCAATCAGCAATGCCCAGACAGAGGTCAGGGGTTCCGCATCTCCTAGAGAAAACTCCTCCTACAAGCTTTAACCAGTGCTCTGCTGAAACACTGATAGAAGTCACAAGACTGTTGTAACTGCTGATGAGAAAAGGTATTTAGCAGTTTATATTTACTAAAATAATTGCATTTCCATGTTGTGTGTACTTTGGGAGACCAGATATAGTGAATGCAGGGTCTTGTTTAGTAACACTTTAAGGGTAAATACACCCTCCCACTATCAATTTATTAGGTCCTTGTAAGTACTGTGGTACATATATTGGATACATTATGACTTGACTTCTCCTGTTCTCCAATCCCAGAGGACGCCATTTTTGGAGAAACATGCTTCGGGCGGAGCTTTCTGTGACGTCACCTTGTTCCGGCCGGTGGTCTGACACCGCAGGAATTTTAAATTTTTACGCTGCCTTTATGAACCTTATCTATGTAAGTGCTATACTTTAATACATTCTTTGCTGGTTTATCGGGTCACACTATGAAGTTTTCTTCTTCTGTTTTAAACCTTTCCATGTATGATGTGGAGAGCTGTCTGATGTGATGAATTCGTTCAAGTGAACCTGCAGTTGTCCATTCATCTCCTTGATTTGGCTAACTAGGGTGTCAGTGTGGGATCTGAACACCATCTGCTCGTTTGATCTCTTGATTGGAGATCAAAGTGTCTGGTAAGAGGCTGATTTTTTCTTTTGCGTGAAGCATTTGTGGACACCTATTCACTTTCCATTGGAGGATTTTTTTTTTAGCACACAGCACTGTGTTATTGGATTTTGGGACTTTTATTTATTTAATATATGAATGTGGACTTATATAATGTCAATTCATGTATGCACATTTTTCATGTAGCAGCATTTATTTGATTGATTATTGTTTATGATTATTTAGTGTACAGCGCACTCATTTTTTATATGCTTTATATATGTTTTGTCCACTCTTTGACCATCAGGCCCACATTGTTACATCTTGTTTTCTGTCCTGGCCACCTCCCTCTCTCCTTGGTGGGGTTGTTGGGCCCCTGACCCCCCTGTACCCACTCTAGGACTATTGATCGGGTATCCTGCCACATAGATACATGGTTAAGCCAACTTGCTGAGCTATTCAGTTTCTTTAGGAGGGCTTTTCACCCCACTGTATATGGGATGCTATATGCTGTTTTTAATATTTTCTATATAGTATTGTGCAATATAATGTATGTTTTATGAAATTCTGATTGATCTCTTATGCTGTGCTTATGTAGTCCTATGTTTGGGGTAGGCTGGTTGTTGTTCTCCAGCTTTTACCTGTTTTTTTCCTATATAATTTTAGGATGCAGCACATAGAAAGTCTCTTTTCTTTTTTAATTGGATTTTTAGACTTGCATAAAGATTTCTAGGCTTGTTTCACACAGGCTTCAGCTTGTATAAGAGCTCTGTGAATAGTAAGCTTTTATGAAACTTTCAGCAAGCTTTTGCAAAGCTTTTGACAACCTTTGAGCAGCTTTATCTACACCTTTAAAGTTCTGTGGATGAGTGCCTACAAGTCCCAGCAGCCTCAGCGGCTGTTGGCTTGTACTTTTCAATGAATGAACTACCACGGCGCTGTGGAGCGTCATGGTAATTAATTGAGGCTTCCTGTCAGAATATCTGCTTGACTGTACATCCCCTACAGCTAACATATATTCTGACAGGTCTACAGGAGACCTACATGGCATCAGCGATCTACTGATTGCTGGTGCAATGCTTTACAGGCTCCTTTGGACAAAAATAATAAATGCACATTTTTTTACCTGCAAAAAAATGTGCATTTATTATTTTTGTCCAAAAGGTGAACTTATCCTTTAATGCCAGTGTTAATTGTCACTTTAAACAAGCTGCTAGCAGGCTTCAGCAGGCTTTCAACAAGCTTCAAGTAGTGCTGAAGCCTGCTAGCAGCTAGTTTAAAGCTGCCATCAGCACTCCCATTAGGATTTCTGTTCAACATTTACAAACTGGAGATGAAAGGTATTTTAAAAGCTTCAACAAAGCTTGCTAAAAGCTCTGCAAATGCTTTGTAAAAGCTTACTGTTCACAATGTTCTTACACAAGCTGAAGCCCATATGAAACAAATCTAAGATCTGCATATATGAGTTTGTGCTACTATATATTTATTGGACATTAAAGAGGAATTTCACTCCCTGTATAATTTGTTTTATTTCATTCTTCATTTACCTTTTTAGCTGTTTATCTTAAATATTGCTAAAACATACTCACCTGGCCAGTACATCTGGTGTTGTCCTGCTGCAATTTGCTGCTGGGCTTCCACAACTCCGATCCCATGCTCCTTTGTCATCGGGCTGTCTCCTCTTGCGGCTGGCCACCACCAGGTCCGCCTTCCAGCCACTGTGTTTCTGCTCCTGCAGCCTCCTAGGCTATGATGAGGATATCCCAGGAAGTTCTCCCCAATAGCAGCTGCTACCGTCATATTTTCAGAGGTGATTTGTGGATATAAATAAAGAAAATGGTTGTGGGTGTAATTGAGTTATGGCTAATACAACACTATTACCTACTGCTAATCTAACCAATATTTACCTATGCCATTGTAATTTTACACAGCTACATCTTGAATCTGACTTGAAAACCTTTGTAGAACTACTAGTGCTTCTAGCATTTTGCGTAAATCTGCAATTGTCTGACCCAGCATGGTTCTTTCCTTTCTTTTGACTATTCCTCACAGCTGGGTTTTGTAAATTAATTTCACCTAATATATTGACTACCCTAATCACATTCAACTTTACAATCAATTTTCCTGAGTTTATATTTACAATATTCTGTACCCCTCAAAAAAAAAAAAAACAGCTTCATGAAGCTGAGATGATGTTTTCAAATGCAACAGTTCCCAAGAAATAATATTGGCAACTTTGGTTTACCAAGTGAAAAACACTTTAATTGAGGGATTTTTCTGATCTGGCGAGGATTACTAGCAAAATTGTTCAATAACACTGCCTAATGATGAATATATTATTAAATACAGAAACACTAAGCTTTACAGCTTAGTCCTGTCATTACAATTTGAAAATTACAATGTTCCTTCACAGCTTTCACGTAGAATGCCACCCACCTGGTTGAGCTGCCCAGGAGAACCAGATTCCTTTCACCACTACGTTCCCACTGCAGTCGCCAGATTAATGTACTCCTGGAGATATAGAAAATGTGCTCAAATAAGCATCTGTCCAGAGTAGGCCCTGGTCATGCAGAGTACATTGTGGGAGGTTTGGAGCCTTGGCAGTCATAGGGAAGGCTTCATATTGCTAGTGACTGCAGAGTCTCACAAGGTTTGAGAACTACTTAAGGATTGGCCAAGGATCCCCGCATGTTTAATTTGGAAACAAATTATTCTGTCATGACTTTTGTACTTACTGTAAAAAAGTTTAATTCCTGTAATGTCAATATTAACATTTTGAAGTGTGTTAGCATATAGCAAAGAGGAGTGCTTGCTAGTTCTCTGACTGCTGGGAATGGGTGCATGAGTAGGTTATATAAGTAATTATTATTATTTTTATTATTATACAGTATTTATAAAGCGCCAATAGTTCGCTCAGCGCTGTACATTACAAAGGGGGACAGAACATGTGACAGAACAATACCAATACAATGCAAAACATGAGGGGATTGACGGCCCTGCTCTTTCGAGCTTACAATCTAATCATGCATACGTTCCCTTGGCCTTCTTTTTAGGAGATTTCAATTAAGATGATTGTGTATAAAGCGTATAGTAATTAAGCATGTTCTAAACAATGCAAGTGTTTGTATGCTATGAGCATCAATACAACCTGATGCTTGAAGTCCATGTGCAACAACATTTTCCATGAAACGTTTGGTGAAACCTATGAGTTCCACCAGCCTAACTCTTGCCTCCACAACCCCCCTCCCCACTTCTAAATAGAGCTGTAGGTAACATGGTGTTCACTAAGCACCAGTGTACATTAAAGGAGAACTAATTTTGGATAGAGTGGGGAATATTTAGAACCTGTATGTGCCCCGGTGGTGGAGGATATCCTACTACTTTTTGTTCTGGTGGTACAGCAGTAAGGCTGATGTCACATGGGTGACACATCACTAGCGGCAGAGTCACATGAAAGCAAAATCTCGCTGACTCTGCTAGATAGGGAGTGACTCCATAAAGACATGCAGGCAGTCTCTTAGCAATCTTGATGCTAGCAATTTGTCATCAAAGTCAAGATCACCCACAAAATATCAACCTAAGGAAATCTCCAAAATAAGGACACATACAAAATATGACTGATACAGGTTGCTGTTCTTCTCAATCCACTAATAAAAGGGTTTCTATTGCTGTTGTTCTCCCCTGTTGGAATGATTATCTGCACTTCCTATCCAACAGACCGAGTACAGGGAAAGCTCTTCAGCGGAGACAGAAGCAAAAGGATAAACCCAACAGAGGTTCTATCCTTTCACCATTGTATCCAAAGCAAAATGAGAACATTCTGCTTTAATGTATCTTTTAAAAGTAAATGGCCATTCGATGAGCTTGACGATTCCGGCAGAATCTGGCAGTGACTGGAAGGCTGGTAGAGGGGGGGTACCCCAAGATCTAGAAACACACATTTGGCTCATAAATGTTAAGGAGTAGCCCTTTTACAAATATAGACTTTGAGACTGAGATAAGAGTGAATTCGGGCAAGTTTGAAGTATACTTTGACACAGTTTTAAAATAATATCTCTTATAAACCATCCAACCACCATCCAATGTCAATTTTAAACTATAAACTTTATACTATAAAAGAGTATTCTTTCAGCTAACTGGATTGCTGTCATGTTGGAAATACATTTTACTGGACAACCTCTAAAAAGTTCATCTGAAGGGCTTTGCTAAGTTTTGGTTAGATTTAATTACATGGATTTGTTTGTTTGGAAGTCTTTTCCTTGGACTGAGCACACTGCTGTCCATCCAGAAATGATAAGAACTGAAATATGTGCTTATTATTCTAGAAGTTTGTTTTCTTCCTCTCCAAATTATAAAGATGTTCATGTTACAATCAACAAGGCCTCTTAGATGACACTTTTTCGAGGGTACTGTTCTTGTAGGACATGATGCTAATTTTCTTTTATTCTCTGTTTTAATTGATCTTGATTCATTATGCTCATTTTATTGGTAAAATTGTAACATATTTTGCAGTGCATTACAAAGAACACCAAAGCATTCACTTACACTTAATCCTAAAGGAATGTACAATCCATTTAATGTACTAAATGTATGTTTTTTTTTAATGGCGGGAGTTTTAGCAAACACAGGAGAAACACTATTTGGCACAAACCAAAGGCTTTTGGAGTGTGTATTTGAGAATTTGTGACCATTCAGCTATGATAGCATTTACAAGGTCATGTTGGACAAGAAGATCTGGCTCATTATCTGCTTTCCAATTTATCCCAAAGGTGTTCTGTGAGGTCAAGGTCAGGGTTCTGTGCAGGCCAATCAAGTTCCTTCACACCAAACTCATCAAACCATGCCTTCATGGAGCTAGCTTTATGCACAGGGGCACAGGTATGTTGGAACAGAAAATGGCCTTCCCCAAACTGTTCCCACAAGTTAAAAGTCCTCAATTGTCTAAAATGTTTTTGTATACTTTAGGATTAAAAATACCCTTCACTGGAAACATCTGAATTGAATAATATGGAGGGGTGTTCACATACTGTATAGTTTACAAGCTGCAGATAATTGAGAGTGAATAATCATACCCATGAATCTACCACAGCAAGTCATCATTGGGGACCACAAGGGAATAAATAGGTAGGAAATGGTTAGCAAGTTGACATTTTGCCATTTAGTAAGCATAGCGAATTAGTGGTTAGTGTTTTTGTCTTGTTGCTCTCCAGGCTCTGAACTCAAACTTTAGCAATATCACTATCTGCATGCTGTTTGTATGATTTCCTTTTGTTAGTGTAGGTTTCTCCAGAAATCCAACATATAATTGTAGGTTGCTTATCAGTGTGTGTGTATGGGGTGGTACCGCGGACAGGGACTAATGGTTTTAGTTCATATGTATTCTGTAAACTGTTACATAATATCATGGTGCCATGTACAGTGGAATGGAAAATAAATGGGTACACAGATATAGATTATAAGGACAAGGGAGCTCACATCCAAGTTATGATGGGAGGCACCACCACTGAGAACATGAGCTATTGGAGAAGGAAAGGGTCAAACACCAAGATCTATAGAGCAATCAAATGCTTAAAGTTTTACTAAACCGACAATAGTAAAATCAGTCTGTAAATGCAGTAAAGAATGCTTGTTATATTCACTGGGGAACCTAAGGGGTTAATCCTCTGCATTGTGCAAAAACGCTGTTTGATCCTGACTTCTCTGATCCTCCCCTTCTTTCAGTGTCCACCTCTTATCTCCTGATAAGAAATATCACCTGGAGTCACCCTGCACATGCTCAGTTTGGTGTGTATTGCTAGAGAGGTTTTTTTTTTTTTCTTGGGAGAGTGCATTTGATCAGCACAGGGGCAATCAGCACTGTCCAGACAGAGGTCAGGGGTCCTGCATCCTCCTAGAGCAAAATGAAAACTCCTCCTACAAGCTTTCACCAGTGCTTGGCTGGACACTAATAGTCACAAAACTGCTCTAACTGCTGATGAGAAAAGGTATTTTGCAGTTTATATTTACTAAAATAGTCACACTTCCATGTTCTGTGTACTGTGGGAGACCAGATATAGTGAATGCAGGGTCCTATGTTTAGTAACACTTTAATTGCTATGAGGGCAGTGCGGCATTAAACATGGAGTTCCTAGAAGAAGCAGATGAAAAAGGAATCCTGCAAGCATTCTTTTTGGAAGTGAAAATGGTGAACTGGCATCCTAACAATAGGTTGCATGTGTGTGGAATAACTGATTGATGTTGAAGGGGGCCCATCGCATTCCTCTGCCAGGTATCCTCTGTAGTCAAGGGCCACTGACTACATTTATTGTTATTGCATGAGGTGTGTAGGAGAATGGCACAGAAAAGTTGCTTAGCCAATCCTGAAGATACATGATGGGTTACTATGGGCAGCAACACGGGATCTTTCTTTAGACACTTTGATAAATGAGTCTTAACCTCATTTCATATATTTTTTCTTTACTGTCTGAAGTTCTAATGATTTGAAGACTCTCTATTATTGTATCCTTCGGAAAATGTCTGGAGCTGTTTAAATAATGAAAACTTTGTGTTCTTGATAAATCGCTTAGTGGGATGCAGTGTAAAAAGTTCAGAGCATATGCGTCTATCAAAAGACCTTTGCTACTTTGTCTTCACTGCCAAATAACATGATTTATAACCAGCTCTTTTAATGTGTCATTTACAAAAAGGCATTGCAAAGACATTGCAAATCTGATAAAATTGGTCAGTTTAAAAAAGAACTCCGGAAGACCTATTGTAATAATACAAAGAGCAATGTGTATGTGCAGTAATGGATAGCAGCCAAAGAGAAAACACTTTTGATTTTGGCATTATAAACTATAATCTGGTTGCCAATGGGGTATTCACAAGCCATGGTGTTCCTCTAGAGAGTGGTCAATATGGATATATAGTGCTCAGCATAAATTGGTACACCCCAACAGATTTATCAGAAAACCTATACTTTCTTTTCAGAATCAACATTTTCTATGGGACACTATACTACAAAATACTCCCACAAATGCAGGCCATTGATTGCAAACAAGATTTGTTAATTTGCACACGCAAAAAGTATTTTTCCTAACAAATTCACTCAAGATCATGTTGCAAAAATGAATACACCCCAATGAAAGTCTTAGGAGCAAAGCTAAATTTTACACAATAAAATCCTAATTAACAAGAATTCAACAGGTGAGTCTAATTATTCATTAAACAGGTGTCCAGCAGACAGTTGATTATAAAAGGCTGTTACTTAACAAAGAAAACCCCTTCCCATTTCATGCTTTTAGCAATGGCACCACTTGGAAGAGAAATGTCACAAGGCCTGAGAAAGAAAATTATTTATTTACACAAGAAAGGTGAAGGCTTTAAGAAGATCAGCAAAGCTTTACTTATCAGTCAGACTACTGTAGCAAAAGTGATACAAAAAGTTTACAAAGATGGAACTGCAACCATCTCACAGAGACATCCAGGCCGTCCGCAGGATTTAACACTTTGACAGGATATTGTTTCCCGTGACACAATACGACGTACACTGTAGAGGAATGGCATGCATGGGTTCATCCACGAAGGAATCCTCTCCTAAAGCCCATGCACAAAAAAGCCCACCTAGAATTTTCCAGGGCCCATGCTGAAAAAAAAGAAGACTACTGGGACTCTGTACTCTGGAGTGATGAGACCATGATAAATGTTTTGGAACAGATGGCCTCAAAACTGTACGGTGTTGCAAAGGCAAGGATTACAAAGAAAATTGCATGGTGCTTACAGTGAAACATGGTGGTGTTAGTGTCCTTATGTGGGGCTGCATGAGTGCTGCTGGTATCGGAGAGCTGCATTTCATTGATGGTATCATGAATTCACAGATGTACTGCTCCTTTTTGAACGAGAAGATGCTACCATCACTCCGTGCCCTTTGTTGTCGTGTACCTTTCCAACATGACAATGATCCAAAACACACATCTAAGGCCACTGTTGCATTTCTGAAGAAGGTGAAACTGATTCAGTGGCCAAGTATGTCTCCTGATCTGAACCCAATCCAACACCTATGGGGAATTCTGAAGAGACAAGTTGAGCATCACTCTCCATCCAGCATCCAGGCTCTAATGAGGTCGTTCTTGGAGAATGGAAAAAGATAGATGTTACAATATATCTCCAACTTGTTCATTCTGTGCCTAGAAGACTTGGTGTTGTCCTTACAAATCATGGAGGTTATACAAAATACTAGATGGCGTAGTTTTTGTTGTAGAGTGTATTCATTTTTGCATCAACTAATTTGAGTAAAACTGAAGATTTTGTAATCTAAGGTATATTATTAACCTTACTTTCATGTAATGAGCTAAACAAATGTTCTATAAAACCCAGTTTTGTTAAAATTTCGGAAATTGTTCTTGTGTTCATTGAGATAGTGATTAAAATCTTACTTTTCAAAAGGGATGTACTCATTTATGCTGAGCACTGTATGTGCTATTCAGAAGCACTGTAAAACACCTGGCGATTCTTCATGGCAGGTAGACATTGTAGGGTATAGGCAGTTTAAGGTGTTCCCTGGCATATTGAAGCTCACAAGTCATCACAACTATAGTCACTTATTGGCCCTTGTACCCTCAGATCTATAAACTATCCAGTCTGGAATGATGACACTTGCAAATTATTATTATTATACAGTATTTATAAAGCGCCAATAGTTCGCTCAGCGCTGTACATTACAAAGGGGGACAGAACATGTGACAGAACAATACCAATACAATGCAAAACATGAGGGGATTGAGGGCCCTGCTCTTTCAAGCTTACAATCTAGGAGGGAGGGGATGGTGGCAGAGGAGGAGATAGCTGTGGGGGATGGAGTGGTGGGAAGAGTGGAGGAGATCGGTCAAGTTAGCAGGGAGTGGGGTAGGCTTCCCTGAAGAGATGGGTTTTCAGGGTGCGCCTAAAGGAGAGGAGAGTAGGTGATAATCTGATGGGTTGGGGCAGGGAGTTCCAGAGGATGGGTGACACCCTGGAGAAGTCCTGGAGGCGGGCATGGGAGGAGGAGACCAGGGAACTAGAGAGAAGGAGGAAATAAAGGAAATCTGAAAATCTAAGCTTAGAGTAGAGTAGATTTTCTAAATTAAGCTAATGTTCAGTGTTTTTTGTGGATATAGTAAGCAGGTAACCAAATGCAGTATACAGCATTGGCATTGTTGTAAAAAAATGTACCGTTTTATGATTATAAAGCAGTTCTTGAGTTTCAATCAGAAAAAGCTGGCGCAGACAAGGACACCAAAATACCCAGACACCCCATGTTTTGAGAAAGAAGCGAGTGCTCTAAATCGCGTTGCTGCACCCCCAGCCGTTGTTCTCCCCTCCAGTGTGACATCACTTCTGCTTCTGGACCATGTGTGCGCCCTGGCCTGGGTTACTGAGTGGATTCATCTAATACCGACAGCTAGGGACAACCTTTTCCAGGTGATTTCAAATGGCATGAGACTGTCAGCCTTACAGCTGCCCCTTTGATGGGCACTTTTGTTACATTTCAATTGCCATTTGATAAAGTTCTTTTATGCTGCACTTAGAAGGTGCCCCCTGTTGTTTTGTGCCAGAGTTTCAGTCAAGTAACTTTGCCTAGACTGGAATAATGTTGACAGTCTGCTGTATGCAGGAGGAAGCTGTTCTTCAGTCTCCTTTCTCCAACTAATCAGACTGGAACATTTTTACATTGAATCGAGTCACAAGTATGCAGTGGGCACTGATCTATGTCAAATATCTGTGCACAAAGCCAAAAACTGCATATACTCTCTGAGCTGATGTCTTAGCCCAGAATGTAGATTCTGACCCTTAATGATACCTAAATAAAGATGGCTCAATTCTTCTGCAAAGCAAATCAAGGCATTGTCAAGAGGAGTACTATATTCTCTGTGAGAGGTAGTAAATACCTGTATTACACATTACATAGTATGCACTGATCTAATATGAAAAACATTTCTGATGGTAAGGTAATTTAACTCCTTGGCACAGATATGCGTCCTCTCAGTGGCTGGGCCTTGATACCAAGAGTCCACATATTTGCTTACCTGATGTAAACAAACATGTGCCCAGAGCGCAAGCCCTGCACGCTCCTGGCAAAGTTACCGACACCTCACAGAAAGTTTTCTGATCATGTGACCACTGTGACAGCCAATCACGGCAGTCTCATGACCCTAAACCCTGCCCCACCTCCTGATGTCAGAAACCCCTTAAAGAGCCGGGAGGCCTTGGCGCCAAGGGGTTACAACCCTTACATATACCCAGTGAAGTGACTGGCCTCAGGTAATATACAATGATGAAACACATCCTCCTACATAAGTTGCACCTGTCTATCTGCAGTCTTCTCTTCTCTCCATCCGTTCAAAGTGCTGAATTTATAAAGCGTGTCTGAGAGTTCAGAAAAAAAAAGGGGCAGAGAACCGAAATTACACACTACAGAGCTCAGTGAGGTAAGCTCTGAGAGCTTATTGGAAGGAAGGACACACCAGCTTACAGGAACAGAGCCGAGACTGAAGATCTGATAATGGTTCCTGCCCTGTCACTATTTTTTTCTTGGTGTCAGGAAAACCTTTAAAAAGTGATTGATGTTGAGGAATGAGGAAGGAGACAGAAATTACACTAAGGGCTCTTAATTGAGACAAGCACACACTATGGAGGGATATGCTTTGTTCATATTTTATGTCTGAGGTTTAAACTTTAAATATATGACTCTATTTGATATTTTCTTAGATAATGCCTAAATAGATTTGCTGTAATCCTTTAACCAGTTGTTCTAAATAGTATTCAGAATTCCCATTTTATCTGTATATACTACGAATGGAAAACTTTCAGGTACATGCAGGCACAATTGTGTCATCTGTTTATTCAGAGCAGAACAACCACAGGATGAAGTGATTATCCAGTCGGCACAGCCTTGTCTTCCTTGTATCAAGATCAGCGCTCTGCAAACTCGAGTGGTTAAAGGTTTCTATCTCTCAAGCCATCAAGACATAAGCCACCAAGTATTAGGGGACTGAGACATAATTCCACTTTCTCTATTTCCCTGGCTCATCCAATTAATTATTTATCAATTGT